GACGTTTCACTGCTTTCTTTCCACAGATGCTCTCAGGCCTATTGAGAATTTTTCTTTCGGCACATTCGATTAAATATTCGAATTTAAAATTCACGAACTTGGAAAGTAATAGACATCACTAAAATCGTAACTGCTTCCCTACTGATTTGCCTCCTATCAGACATCTTTCACAAATATTATGGTGTTCCTCCCCGGGAGCTTCCACAACAGCACGAAATAAAGCGTACTCTGCTTCTGTGGTCGCTAACACTTCTGGTAAAGCATTTTTTTTCAGTCTTCACACCACCCACACACGCAATAAAATTAGGTTCATAGATTGCTGTATTAATTTGCTTGTAATCAGGCCTTGGACACATTTTTTTTTATCGCTTCCAGCTATTTGCAAGCATTACCCTGCATAATTAGAACTAAAAACGGGAAAGAAATCCATACACTCAAGCAAGCCTGTCTTACAAAAGCTTTGCCCGTTTTGGCTCTCTCCTCCTGCCTTTGACTAAATCAATCATTGTCATCTTTTGTAAATGTTTCAACATACTTCACACCAGTGGTTCTGCTCGAAAATGAGAAAGCAGAAGGACTGATGAGATGCATCCAAGGATTTTGAAGGAAGTGAGGCCAAGGCACTTGCCATGATCATTCAGTCTTCCCTGGACTGCCACTGAATATCAAGAGGCTGTGAAAGTAGGAATAGTGATGGTGAAAATAGGAATGGGAGGATAGGGCAGATAAATGTATTGCTGATGAGCTGGGGCAGCGAGCGGGGTACAGATTTTTGGATCATTGGGATCTCTTCTAGGGCAGAGGTGACCGTTACAAGAGGGAGGCGTTACACCTGGACTACAGGGGGACCAACATCCTGGTGGAGAGAATGGGAGAGCTATTCTCAACAAGTTAATTGAGCCTGGCAGGGAGGTTGGGACCCTAAACAGCAAGAGACAAGAAATCATGATGGGGCTATTAGAGAAGTAAAAGAAAGCAAGTTAAACTGAAAGGCAGGGAATTAGGAATGGGTGATAAATTAAATGGCATTTATTTGAAAGCAAGAAGGCGGACGGATGAACTCAGAGCATAGGTAGAAACATTGGCATGGGATATCACAGATACAAGGTAAACACAGCTGATGAAGGGATATGGTCTGGGGTACAGATCCTATAGGAAAGATAGAAGAGGAGGCAAAAGAGGAGGGGTAGTGGTTTTTTTTTAATTTGGGAAAACATCAGAGCAGTACTTAGAAAGGATATTCCTGAGGAATCATCCAGTTAGGCTGTCTAAGTGGAAAGGAGTTAAGAAAGGAGTGATCACTTTGAAGGGATTATAGTACAGGTGCATCATTAGTCAGTGGGATATTGAGGAGCAAGTATGTAGGGAGATCGCAGAGAGCTGTAAGAAGAATAGAGTTATAATAGTCAGAGATTTAAACTTTCCAAACATAGACTGGGGCTGTCAGAGTGTTAAGGTTTTGCAAGGGGTAGGCTTTTGTTGTGGGTGTTCAGGAAAAAAAAAGATTGCAATCAATATGTAGGTGGCCCAACGAGAGAAGGTGGCAAATTCACCCTCCCCTTTGGAAGTAAGCAGCGCATGTGACTGAGGTGTTAGTGTGAGAGCACTTTTGAAACTTATAGCATAATTCTATTAGTTTTAAGACATTTACAGAAAAGTATAGATCTGTTTCACAAGGTAAAATTTGAATTCTAAATTAGGGCAAGGGCAATGTTGGTGGTATTAGAGTGGAACTTTCTAAAGTTGATTAAAGAGGTTATTTGCAGGTAAATGAATGTCTGGCAAGTGGGAGGATTCAGAAGTGAGATAACGAGAGATCAGGGTCAGCATGTTCCTGTTAGTGTGAAGGGCAATTCTAGAATGAGTCAGGAACACTAGATGACTATCGATATCGAGGTCAAGAAAAATGAGGAGACATATGTCAGGTTTGGGCAGCTGGGATCACCTGAAGCCTTTGAGGAATCTAAGGAACATAGGAGTATTCTAAAGAGGGAAATCAGAAGAGTAAAAAAAGAAAGGACTTACGATACCTTTGGTAGGTAAGTTTAAGGACAATCCAAAAAGATTTTACAAGTATATTAAGAGCAAAGGAACAAGTATGGAGGGAACTGGGCACCTCTAATATCAATTAGTCATCTCTATGTGGAACAACAGGAGTTGGGTGAAATCCTAATTCTTCTAAGTGTTCACTGTGGGGAAAGACATGGAAGCTAGGGAACTCAGGAAGTAAACAGTCATGTCTTGAAAAAAGTCCATACACAGAAGAGGACGTGTTGGAGGTCTTAAAATTTGTGAAGTTTCATAAAACCTGGGACCTGATCACGTGTATCCCACGAATTTGGGAAGCTAGAGAAGAAATTGCAGGGCCACTAGCAGAGATATTTTTGTCATCGACAGCTATGTTTTAGGTGCTGAAAGACAGGCGAGCATCTAATTTTAGAATCATAGAATCCTTACAGTGTGGAAGCAGGCCATTCAGCCAATTGAGTCCACACCCTCTGAACAGCAACCATGTCCATTGCAGACACCTGGGACATGTTTATCCATGCTCCATATCCATGAGCACTTCCCACCACTATCATGAATTTGTTGCCTAAGCCAGACACACACATATGGTTGTGCCCAGAGAATTGTAAACTGTTCCTTGTACCATTATTTAAGAACGTATTATGGATCAGCTCAAAAACCTCAAAATATATTAACAAGGTAGCCTAAACATCAACATTATCTCATTTTTAAAGGCAAGTGCAAGACATTTTGTTCCAGATGCAACTCGATTGGTCAAACTGCCAGGCTTTAATTAAAACACACTTTATTCTTATTCTTATACTTTAGCAACACAGAAACAAAAGAAAGAAGAATTGGAATAACTTAACATTAATAGAAAACTTAACAGAATAATTGATTATTTCACTGCAAAACAGTAACTGTTCCAACATAGACATATTCCCTTAACTCACCTTTAGCAAAGGCAAAGTTCGTAAAATAGATTGTCTGACATGTAATTCTTCAGTCCAGGAGGGAAGAACATCTAGAGAAAACCCATTTCAAGAAAAACGGACAGAGATAGAGAGTGATGGAGACAGAGATAGAGAGATAGATAGATAGAGAGAGAGAGGACTCAAGTGTTTTGCTGTAGCAAGAAGAGATATATAGCAGCTTCCAGAACCTTACATGTACCGAAAGTGAAACTGAAATCCTGGTTCTGTGGGAGTTTGACCACCACTTCATGCTGCTGCGATTGCTCCAACTTTTAGAACAACCTAAGCCCTCACAAGCTGTTTGCTTTATTGGCCTGAAACAGATCACTCGAAACCTCTATTTCAATCTTTCTTCATTAATAAAAGGACAAAATATATCTTTTCAAGCCAAAGTTTGTCACAAATCACCTGTAAAAATTAACCATCAATATACAAAGATAGCTCCATTGAAAAAGAAATCCTTTAGTATGATCCTATTAGTACAGTAAAACACATGCATGTTACATTGACTCTAAGCATGCAGACATTCAATACTACAACTCATTTTAATCCGTTTCTTCCTCCACCAAAATTTTCGGTTTTCATTCATTAAAGTTGCAACAACAAGTCAGCAATGACGTTCTCTCGTCCTGCCACCGGGAATGGCTGCAATAATAATCTTCATGTAAATAGTCTGGAAGTTTTATATATTTTTTTTTTTCCAAAAACTTTAAAGGTTTGTGACCATTTTCTATAATTGTCTCAGAAACATTACTGGCAACATAATTGTTGAAATGTTGCAACATCAACACCAAACTCACGGCCTCCTTCTTAATTGTGGAATATTTCTGTTGATGAATTTTCATCTTTTTGAAAACATACCCAATAGGCCTCCCTATCTTTTCGTTGTCATTTTGCAAACGTGCAGCGCAACACTGACATCCATATCACACACGTCAATAGCTACTTTGAGTAGCTTTATTTACTTAGGGGCTGCAAATACTGGGACAGTTGTCAAACGCTGTTTGATATGATTCAGTCCACAGAAATTTTCTGCACTTCTTCAACAGGTCAGTCAATAGACCAATCACAATGCTAAAATTCGATATCTACTTCCAATAAAACCCACTCAGACTCAAGAATTATAGTACTTCCCTCTTCGTTGATGGAATGGAAAACTCACCAGTCACCTTTATTTTCACATCCTCAGCAGCCATCTGCCCATGTCCAAAGACATGGCCCAGGAACGTGACTTGGGCTTTTATGAACTCAGTCTTTGCCATATTGATCACCAAGCCAACAAATACAAACAAAAACAGAAGTTGCTGGAAAAGATCAGCAGGTCTGGTAACATCCAGGCAGAGAAATCAGACATAACGTTTATGGTCGAATGACATTCCCTTGGGCTCTGAAAGGGCCACTGCAACCCTGAAACGTTAACTCTAATTTCTCTCCACAGATGCTGCCAGATCTGTTGAGCATTTCCAGAAATTTTTGTTTTTGTTACTGATTTGCAACATCCACAGATCTTAGCGTTTTTAATCACCAAGCCCACCTCATTAAGTCAATCTCATCATTTATATAGCACGTTTCTTTTTCATTATTCTTCCTGTCCAAATCGACTAATTCACATTTTACTTTTATTCATCCATTCATTGATATTGATCTCATGTTGCCATTTTAGTTTATCAGATCTATCTGAATTGTAGATCTCAAGACAATAATAGTAATCATGGGTGGCACTTATTTGATACAAATGAAAAGAACCTGACTGCTATTCAGAAACAGAGTGTTCCTAGTTCCAAAAGCGAGCTGCTGCTGATACTGAACATCTGAAATGAAAACAACATTTATAAAACTTAGCAGGTCAGGCGACATCCGGTATATAAAAAAAGAACTGACGTTTTACAATGACAGCCTTTCATCAGAAATGTTCACATGAAAGGCTGTCTGCCTGGAAAATTAGCTCTATTTTCATCTACTAATGATGCACAGCTAGCACGGGCTTGTGTTGGAGGGTGAATCTACGAAAGGAGACAGTTAGCATTTTTGTATTCTTTGACTATATTGACATGTAATCATATTCTTTACTTCATTTCTGAACTTGGTCTGTGCCACTGCATAAATAAACGTGTTGGTGCAAGAACTCAAAAGTTGCAGCATGTATCCGGTGTGTTCCACAATTGTGAAAGGGTCATTATTATTAGTTTGGTAAAACTGGTTCTCTGTAAATTGTACACAGGCATGACAGATTGAAATTAGCATCCACAGACAAATAAAACTTCCAGAAATAGAAAGCAGTAGTATGATGGATTTCCTGCGATTTTCGAACTCCGAGTCTTTGATACCTTCTCTGAAGTTTCTCCTTACCCTGCTACTCATTACAATATGCTGAATGGTCAGAGCATTGAAAACAGAAATAAAGAAAAACACAGCAAATGGGGTTAAAATCGTATCAAGACACAAGTAAGCCTTCCAAACGGGCAAAATATAGAAATCAGATTTTACAACATAGATCCATGCCATGTTATCAATCAAGTTTCCAGGCTGGTTTACAAAGTAAGATGGCATGTTTTGTACAGCACTAAGTCCACAAACAATGGCTATAACAACAGTTGCAGTTTTCTCTGTACAGTATTTGACTCTCAACTTTTGGCAGCAGATGGATACAGATCGATCAAAGCTGAAAGCAACTGTTAACCAAACAGAGAAATCAATGGAAATAAAAGTGAAGGTAAAAGTAAGACAACAAATGGAAGTATAATCCAGAAACGATTTTGGAAAATAGATCTCTTTAAGCACGTGCATTATTACTTCAAATATTAAAACAAGGAGATCTGCTGCTGCCATTGACACCAGGTAGCATGCAATACATCTGGAGGGACCACAATTTCCATGGGAAAGAATCACAATTGATAATATATTAGCTGTAAGAAAAATTGGAAAACTGATGTTAGTGCTTCCATTCATAACAGAAGGATGAATAAATGGATGGCATTTTCCCTCACCCAATTTAGCAACATTATTTTTCTCCTACAGAATATGATGCATCATTATTTTCTATAACATAACCTGATGGTTTGGATGTATTGGCTATAGAAGAACTGAATTGGAACAATGTTAGTAATACAATTTTTCTACATTTTGTCAATACTATTACCTCAGGTACAAATTTGGACTTATCTAAGAAGAACATTTCTGGTAGAAACAAAAAGTATCTTTCTGAAAGTGCAAAGAAAGTGATTCATTTCAGTGTTCAAAGACTGAGGAATAGTGTTGCAGAATCATCCAAAAATATGCACATGGTTTATTGGCATGCTGCTTTAATGCTATTGGGACAATCAAATGATGAAGTAAATATTGTAAGGAAATGAAATCCAAAGAAGAATTCATGTATTGGCTGTCCAGTGCGGACTATGGTAAGAATTTCTTTAGCTGTAAAATAGTACCTGAAAGGAAGATAACGAGGTAAGAGTTGGATGTAATGAAGATCGCCCTTTGTTGACGTATGTTCCCTTAGTGAACGATGTGCAATTGGTTGCACTGCAAGGAAAATTCATCATTTCATTAATTCAGAGCCAGACAAACAGGAGCCTGGAAGAACACAGAAAGCCAGGCAGCACATAAAGGAAAGAAGAAGTCAATGTTTTGGGCATTATCCTTCTTCAGGACTGGATTCAGAGCCAGCTTGTCAAAGCCATTCAAAAAGATTGCATGTCCTGGCCTGTCTACAATTCATGCTCTTGCAAATTTGTAACAATGCTACAGAAAACTAAGATGATAAGAACTATTTTTTTTCATATTCTTAACGAATCGATGAAGAAAAGATCAGTGAACAGTCCATTGTTGAAAGCCCAGCAATCTGAGAACGGCACATTTATTCAAACTCTATGCATATTGCCTAGGAACTAATCCTCTGTCCATGCCAGTCAAATTCGATTCATAGCAACCAAGACTTTACTTTTTTATCTTTTCCTTTATCGTTTAGGTAAATGTTAACTGTAGAACTGTTTGATATTTCCGACAGATCACTCTCTAGCATATGTTAGGGTAAACATCTAATCTCATTATAAGTCCTCCGTAAATTAGTGATTGTTAAGTCAAATGCAAACTCCAGCTCACATTTCTTTGTGATATATCACAGAAATTTCTGGCCTTTATTTGGTCACGGACTTTGTCCCGAATCATGTAGGATGAACTGTGTCTGTAAGGGTTATATATTTCAAAAAAAAATCCACTCCATAAGGACACCTCCATGGCAAATCAAAGCTCATGAATGTTGTATCCTATTGATGTTCTGATTATCTATATGCTGGAGCCCTTCTCAGTTGTTTAAAAATTAAATGCACCATTCAAAACATACCCGATTACAATCTGACAGCACTCAGACCACTGTAAAAACTGTTGTATTTCTGTCACTAATGTCCTCACTGGACAGCCAATACATGAATTCTTCTTTGGATTTCGTTTCCTTACAATATTTACTTCATCATTTGATTGTCCCAATAGCATTAAAGCAGCATGCCAATAAACCATATGCATATTTTTGGACGATTTTGCAACACTATTCCTCAGTCTTTGAACACTGAAATGAATCACGTTGTTTGCATTTTCAGAAAGATACTTTTTGTTTCTACCAGAAATGTTCTTCCTAGATGAGTCCTGAAGAAGAGTTATACCCGAAACGTTGACTGTTACTTTCCTCCAGATGCTGCCTGGTTTGCTGCTTTCTTCCAGTCTCCTGTTTGTTTACCTTGAATTCCAGAATATGCAGTTTTTTTTTCCTCATCCACCATTTTATGTTAGTTTGTAATTTGAAATGCAGGATTGGAGGGTTTGAGCTATAGAGAGAGGCTGATTAAGCTGGGGATATTTTCCCTGGAACATTGGAGGCTGAGGGGTGACCGTATCGACAGTTATTAAAATGTGAGGGGCATGGCTAGGGTGAATAGTCAAGGACTTTTCCCAGGTTAGGGAAGTCCAAAACTAGAGGGCATAGGTTTAAGGTCAGAGGGGAAAGATTTAAAAGTGATCTAAGGAACAACTTTTTCATGCAAAGGATGGTCCTTGTATGGAATGAGCTGCAAGTTGCAATGGTAGACACTCTTGCAATTATTACATTTAAAAGACAATAGGATGGGTACATGAATAGGAAGGGTTTAGAGGGATATGAGCCAAATGCTGACAAGAAAAAAAGGATACATGCTCGGCATGGATGAACTGGACCATAAAGGAGTGTTTCCGTGCTAAACAACTCTATGACTCTATCTGTCTTTAAGCTACATCTTTCTGGCAAAAATAAAAGAGGAGTTTGAATGTGATTGTCGCAGAATACTTGAGATGCTAAAACATCTCAGCTGTCCCCAAGATACTAAATTTAATATTGATACTAACATAAATACCTGGGTAAAGGAACTGTAGCTAGCCCTGTTAAAGAGTCTGCGTGCCAATTTGTACACTTGATCCCCTTATACCCGAGGGGTATAAAGTTAGCGGAGTTGTGAAGGAGTATACATAGTTTTTTGAAAAAAATCTTCCATTTAAGCGTATGATGAAAAGGGTTTTTTGTTTGTTCTGTCTCAGAATGTTAATCTGTTTAATGGTCATTACTCAGAAAGCACTGGAAGTAAGGCACTTGAACTATTCAAAGGTTAAAGCTGAAGGTCGCATTCTTCTCGCAATGACTTGCTGTTTGGGTGAAGTCGTGTTGCTGCAGAGCTCCAGTGAAGTTCAACGCAAGTTGGAAAACAGCACCTCATTTTCATTTTGGTCACATTGTATCCTTCTGGACTAAATATCGAGGTCAACACTTTTAGCTTGTACTCTTTCTTCCATATCCAACCGTCACACACCAGGCCTTTATCACACGAGCTACTACGACACACCACACATTGTCACTTACTAAGAGACACCATTGGTAGCTATTCATTCTTCCAGGCTGATCTTTACCCAGAGATAGTAGGAACTGCCGATGCTGGAGAATCTGATATAACAAGGTGTAGAGCTGGATGAACACAGCAGGCCAAGCAGCATCAGAGGAGCAGGAAAGCTGACGTTTCGGGTCTAGACCCTTCTTCAGAAATGGGGGAGGGGAAGGGGATTCTGAAAGAAATAGGGAGAGAGGGGGAGGTGGATAGAAAATGGATAAAGAAGAAGATAGGTGGAGAGGAGACAGACAGGTCAAAGAGGTGGGGTTGGAGCCGGTAAAGGTGAGTGTAGGTGAGGAGTTAGGGAGGGGATAGATCAGTCCAGGGAGGACGGACAGGTCAAGGAGGCGGGATGAGGCTGGTAGGTAGGAGATGGGGGTGGGGCTTGAGGTGGGAGGAATGGATAGGTGGGAGGAAGGACAGGTTAGGACGGCGGGGATGAGCTGGGCTGATTTTGGGATGCGGTCAGGGGAGGGGAGATTTTGAAGCTTGTGAAGTCCACATTGATCTCATTGGCCTGCAGGGTTCCCAAGCGAAATATGAGATGCTGATCCTGCAACCTTCGGGTAGCAGCGTTATGGCACTGCAGGAGGCCCAGGATGGACATGTCGTCTAAAGAGTGGGAGGGGGAGTTGAAACGGTTCGCGACTGGGAAATGCAGTCATTTGTCGCAAACTGAGCGTAGGTGTTCCACAAAGCAGTCCCCCAAGCCTCTGCTTGGTTTCCCCAATGTAGAGGAGACCACAACGGGAACAGCGGATACAGTATAACACATTAGCAGATGTGCAGGTGAACATCTGTTTGATGTGGAAGGTCTTCTTGGGGCCTGGGATGGGGGTGAGGGGGGAGGTGTAGGAGCAGGTGTAGTACTTCCTGCGGTTGCAGGGAAAAGTGCCAGGGGTGGTGGGGCTGGTGGGGAGTGTGGTGCGGACAAGAGAGTCACGGAGAGAGTGGTCCCCGCACCGCCCGTTTCTATCTCCTTCCCAAAATCCACAACCTGACTGCCCTGGTCGACCCATTGTCTCCGCCTGCTCCTGCCCCACCGAATTTATCTCCACTTATCTCGACTCCATTTTCTCCCCCTTGGTCCAGGAACTCCCCACCTATGTCCATGACACCACCCACACCCTCCATCTCCTCCAAAACTTCCGATTCCCTGGTCCCCAACACCTCATCTTTACTATGGACGTCCAGTCCATATACACTTGCATTCCCCATGCAGATGGCGTAAAGGCCCTCCGCTTCTTCTGGGTCAGGGCCTGACCAATCCCCCTCCACTGACACCCTCATCCGCTTAGCTGAACTCGTCCTCACCCTTAACAACTTCTCCTTCAATTCCTCCCACTTCCTACAGACAAAGGGGGTGGCCATGGGTACCCGCATGGGCCCAAGATATGCCTGCCTCTTTGTACGATACGTGGAACAGTCCCTCTTCCGAAGCTACACTGGCCCCATCCCCCACCTCTTCCTCCGTTACATCGATGACTGTATCGGCGCTGCCTCGTGCTCCCACGAGGAGCTTGAACAGTTCATCCACTTCACTAACACCTTCCACCCTAACCTTAAGTTTACCTGGACCATCTGCGATACCTCTCTCTCCTTCCTGGACCTCTCTGTTCCATCTCTGACAACCACCTGGAAACTGATATCCATTTCAAGCCTACCGACTCCCACAGCTACCTAGAATACAACTCTTCTCACCCAACTTCCTGCAAAAATGCCATCCCCTATTCCCAATTCCTTCGCCTCTGCCGCATCTGCTCCCGAGATGAGGCATTCCACTCCCGGACATCGACCGTGTCTCTCACATTTCCCGCAACTCATCCGTCACACCCCCTCCCCACAATAATAACCAAAACAGAATCCTCCTCATCCTCACGTACCACCCCACCAACCTCTGGATCCACCGCTTCATCCTCCGGCACTTCCGCCATCTGCAATCTGACCCCACTACTAAAGATATTTTTCCCTCCCCATCCTTATCTGATCTTTACCCAGTCCTTTTTCCACTATTTTCCTGTCTCTTCGGGCATTATCTCCAAG